ATACATGACATAGGCTTATTCATCAAACCCCTAAATATAGGAACTAGGAGCTTCCTAGTCCCCATTTCCCAATAGGGTTTTCCCCCCCTTTCTGATTTACCTAACAGGTAATTAAACATATGGAATAGTTAGCTCAAGAGGAAAAATGGGTAAGAAAGATAAAACAGATTCCAGAAGGGCTCCAGGAGCCACAAATGGTGCTTGAGGGTATGTCTTGCTAAGCAGCACAATCTCACAACCCTAGTCTTGAGCTTTCATTCTCACATGACCTCTAAAGACCTTTTGAGACTCCCCTAGTTTAGACACTCACAGGGTTCAGAGCCCTCAGCAGGATGCCCCAGAGACAACTGCTTTCTGAACCATCTGTAAGGAACACATTCCCCAGCTGCCCTTCTAATAGGCTGCCCTCCCCAGCTCCTGGGCAGTGTTAATGCCACAGCCCTGCCTGCCTGGGATGGCTTCATCCCTCACCTGTGTCACCACGAGGAGACAGAAGATTTAAGCCATAAATATGGGATAACTGAAGGTTTAGGGGTCAAAGCTGTTGGGTGGGGATAAAATAAAAACCCAAAATGGACTCACAGATATGTTTTGTTTGGTCCCTATAATACTGAAAAACCAAGAGAAGTTTCTGGGTATGGCTCAGTGGTAGAGCGCTGACTAGTGGGCACAAGGCCCTGGGTTTGATCCGCAGCACCCCAAAAAAGTAAATTATAAAAAATTAGGCACAGTGACGCATGTGTCTGTCATCCCAGCTATTCAAGGATGCATAAATAGTAGGATCAAGGTCCAGGCCCACCTGGGTATAAAAAGCGAGACCCTATTCAGAAAATACCTAAAACAAAAAGAGCTGGGGGGTGGTGTGTGGCTCAAGTGGTAAAGCACCTCTCTGGCAAGCACAAGGCTCTGAGTTCAAACCCAGTACTGCCAAACAAAAAGATAAAACAAACAAAAAAGAAAGAATCAGGAAGCTGGGTGTAGCAGGAAGATCAGAAGTTTGTTGCCAGCCTTGGCTACATAGCAAGTTCCAGGTCAGCCTGAGCTACAAAGTGAGACCCTACCTCAAAAAACAAAATAGCAACAACAAAACAAACAAACCAGGAGATTTTACATAAAAACTGCTGGTGATGTAACTCAGTGGTAGAGCACTTGCCTAGATGCCTGCCTTTGATCCCCAGTATAAAACAAAACAAAACAAACAACTTTTGGGCTAGGGGCATGACTTAAGTAGTTAGAGTACTTACCTTGCAAGGCCCTGAGTTCAAACCCCCATTCCGCCAAAAAACAAACAAACGAAGGAATCATTGAAGGTCCTTTTAAAGCCCTAAGGGTAGAAAAGTAGAAAAGTAGAGAAAGATTAGGGCAGTCTCAGGTGAACAACCACCCCTCTAAGCAAGCAGAAGTGAAAGAAGCCTCCATCAGGGTTGTAGAACACAAACAGAAAGGAGATTCTAAGGAGGGTAGGCCCACAGTGGTAGCTGAGGCAGATGAAGCTCAAAGATAAACCACAGTAAAGAGGGACTTGAGAGCAATGACCTTCTACAGTACTGCCTTTCAGGTGTGAGTGCAACCCACAGTAGGAAATCATACTGGGCTCTAACCTGTTGTGAATTACATGATTGTTTCCAACTGTTTGAAGGCTGTGATGGAATTACATAGCAAGCCCTCATAATCTGCAGATTTTGCATCCTCAGATTCAACCAACCTCAGGTGGAAAAAAATGCATCTGTACTGGACTGAATGGACTTTTGCCATTACTCCCTGAACAGAACAGTATAAGGATTACTTATGTAGTGTGTACATTGTGTTACGCATTGTAGGTGGTCTAGAAATGGCTTAAATATAGCCATCCTCAGTGTGAGTAGGGGATTGATTCTGTGACTCCCTAAGGATACCAAAACTTGTGGATATTCAAGTCCCTTATATAAAATGGGATATCATTTGCATAAAACTTACTATACATCCTTCTGTATATTTATTTATTTTGTGGTACTGGGGCTTGAACTCAAGGCCTACACCTTGAGCCCCTCCACCAGCCCTTTTTATGTGATGGGGTTTTTTTTCGAAATAGGGTCTCATAAACTATTTGCCTGGGTGGCTTCAAACTGCGATCCTCCTGATCTTGCCTCCTGAGTAGCTAGGATTACAGGCGTGAGCCACCAGCATCCAGGCCTCCTGTATTCTTTAAACCATCTCTAGATTATTTACAATAGCCCGTACAATGTAACACTGTTATTTGTTATACTGAATTATTTAGAGATGCAATTTGTTTTCTAGTATTTTCCATCTGCAGTTGGTTGAATCTGCGGAGGATGAATCTACAGATACGAGGAGCAATTGTCTACAGGAGGATATGTGTGGGCTACATGTAAATACATTATCTTAACATAAAGGACCTGAGAATTCAAAGATTTCCTTTTCCTGGTGGTGCTGGGGTTTGAATTCAGGGTTGTGTGCATACTAGGCAAGTGTTCTACCACTGAGCTCTACCCCTGCCCTAGTATGTGCAGATTTTGGTATCTAGAGGAAATGTGTCCTGGAACCAACCCCCAAGGGTACTGAGTGATGACTGTATACTCACATCCTTTGCCATGTGACTATAGAATCACCTATTGTTGATGTTGACTTTTACTGTTAACCAATAAACTGCTAACAATAAACTGCTAACAGACCTGCTGCATGATTTGGCTTCACCTCTTGTGCTTCTGCCTCTGCGTAAGTATGTGTTCCAGGTACAGACAGGCTAGACCTACAGAGCCTGGAGCTAAGCCCAGGTATCTCAGCTAAGTCCAGCCAAGATCAGCCCAAATTCTCCAACCTGCAGATCCCGGAGAGAAAAATGTCCGGTGCATGCAACCAAGATTTGGGGGCTCATAATAGCTCCAACAGCTGATTAATGCACAGTCTAATAGTAGTCCCACAGGGGATATATTCCAAGATGTTCCTCAAATAGCACCAACCTTATATATACTGGTTTTTCCTATAATACATACCTATAATAACGTTTAGCTTATAAATTAGGGACAGTAAGAGATTAACAATGTCTAATAAAATAGAACAATCATAACAGTACACAGTAATAAGTTATTTAAAGTTTAAGAATTGCTTCTAGAATTTTTACATTTAATATTTTCAGACTGTGGTTGACTGTTTTGCCACATGGGAGGCAAAACTGTGGGTAAGGGGGACTACTCTAGTTGCAGAGATTAAATGAGAGAATACATACTAAGTTCTTAGCAAAGTGAGTAGTACAAAACAAGTCTTCAAAAATAATAGCTATTGGCCAGGTGAGGTGGCTGATGTCTATAATCCTAGCTACTTGGGAGGCAAAGATCAGGGGGATCACAGTATGAGGTCAGCCACACTAAATTCAAGAGACCCCATCTCAACCATTAAAAGCTGGGCGTGGTGGCACCCAGTGCCTGTTATACCAACTACTTGGGAAGCATAAACAGAAGGATCATGGTCCCAGCTGGGGCATAAATGCCAGACCCTACTCAAAAAATACCTAAAGCAGTACAGCAAATTAGCACAGAGACTGAGCAATGCCCTGGAGAGAATAAAAACCTCAGATCATTTCTCTGACACCCGCTCATGGGACACCCTCTCAACTCTGGGTGCTTTACTGCCCACTCAGTAAACTCTCCCTCGTTAGGCTTTACCTAAAGGGGCGGAGCACCTGCCTTGCCAGTGCCTCAGTACCACCACAAAAACAGCTGTTATTTTCACTAGTGACAACTTTGGTGAGGAACAGAAGGAACCAAGGCAATTTCAGAGACACAGACTCATTTTTTTTTTTCTTCCAGTACTGGGAATTGGACCCAGAACCCTGGGCTTCTAAGGTAAGCACTATACTCCTTAAACCCCACCCCCACCCCAATTACATGTGCCACTATGCCTAGCCTACACTAATTTTTTTTTTTCTTGTGGTACTGGGGCTTGAACTCAGGGCCTACACCTTGATCCACTCCACCAGTCCTTTGTGATTTTTTTTTTTTTTGAGATAGAGTCTCACAAACTATTTGCCTGGGTTGGCTTCAAACTTCGATCCTCCTGATCTCTGCCACCTGAGTAGGTAGGATTACAGGTGTGAGCCACCATGCTCGGCTTAGACTACTTTCTTTAGAAAGCAGTTTAAAGTTACTGGAATCAGGTAGAGAATAATGGATGACACAAGGGGGAGGGGATGGAACCAAATCAGTGGAGGGCTGGAGGTCCTGGAGCAATGACACCAAGCACATCTTTCTGCTCAGTTCTATTCTGCCCTCCTAGAGTCTTTTGGGGTTTTTATTTTTTGCATCACTAGGGTTTGAACTCAGGGTCTTGTACTTGCTAGGCAGACACTCTACCAATTGAGTCACTCGGCCAATTTTATTGGGTATTTTCGAGAAAAGATCTTTCTTTTTTTAACCAGGGTGGCTTCAAACTGTGATCCTCCTGATCTCTGCCTCGAGAGTAGCTAGGATTGCAGGTGGGAGCTTTTTTGTGTGTTGAATTTAAGGCCCTGTGCATGTTAGTCAGGTGCTCTTCTACCGAGCATACCCCCAGCCTTTTCTAGAGTTTTTGTTTTTGATTTTTCAAATAGGATCTCATTATGTAGCCCAGGCTGATCTGAATTCACAATCTTCCTGTCTTTACCTCCCAAGTGCTGAGATTACAGGTGCCTTCCTAGATTTTAAAGGGACTTAAAGCTTGAGTCTTTCATTAACCCCTTCTCTGCTCCTACTCTAACTTGCCATCACACTTCCATCGCCCTCACCTGAGCGTGAGGACCAGGCTAGCCAGAAACTAAGTAGCTCTATCACCAGGTTGTCAAGGTAGGACCTGATCACACTGTCGACCGTCTGTGAACTGGAGGAAGGGACCCATATCTGCCAGGTAGTCCTAACCAAGCCCCCACCAGACTCCATGAAGGCACATGGCCCCTCCTGACCAGTATGGAGAAGGAATAAAGAATGCCATTTGTGAGCAAAAGCTGGGAATGAGTCTCAGAACCAGGTTGTAAAAAAGGCTTCTTTATTGAGAACAGCAAGTGTAAAAACAAAACAAAACAAAAAACCCCACAAAACAAACAAACAACAACAACAACAATAAAAGTGAGAGGCAGGAGTGGCCCACCATCCCCTCCTCTAGGGCCCACCCCTACGTCCCATGCCCACCCGCCCCACGCTGCAATTACATACAAAAACCGCCCATGGTGCATACAAAAAGGGCGGGTTATATAGTGTCAAAAGCTCCTGAAAACTCCTTCATCTGCCAGGCACTTAGGATGAGGAAAGGAGAGAAGAGCGGGGAAAAGCATGGGTCTGGGTTAGTGTGCACAAGCCCACAGTGGAGAGGACTCACTTGCTGTGTCCTCCAACATCATGGTCTAGACCCCCAAGTGGAACCTGTAGGCCAAGAGACTGGTTGGCCCCATGTGCCCAGAGTTAGCCTGGAACTTGAGTAATATTTAGGATCCCCCAAACCCAGCTCATCCCCAGACTAGCCCTCCCCAGACAAAGTTGGCAGATGAGCGGCAGAGCTGGACCTGACCAAAAGGATAAGTCACAGGCCAGAAATTGGGGTTACCTGAGGCACCCACACTGTCCCTCATGAGGGAAGGGGTGGCAAAGAAAGATGCCCAGCCCAAGGCCTGAGACACCTGGTCTGGGTCCCAATCAGCCTCTCCCAGGGCTAAGGGGGAGGAAGAGAAAAGCCCAGGCACTGCCCAGACCTTGGCAATGTCTGCTGTGCTAGGGCAGGGACCCCAGGGCTGAGGAGGAAAGGGGTCTTGCCCATCATGCTGCAGGCTCCCCTCAAGAGGTATCCTCTCCTGCCCACGCCATCCTGAGGCACAGCCTGCGGGGCTCTCTCCTCACAGCTTGCTGTCTGCCGGGCTGTCTCCCAGGGTGTTGGCAATCTCACTGAAGGAAGGCCGGTCCTTGGGGCTGGGGGCCCAGCAGCGCTGCATCAGCCGGTAGAACTTGGAAGGGCAGCCCTCGGGCTGCGGAAGTCGAGCCTTCCCAGCCTGCAAATCTGCAGGGAAAACAGTGAATGGAGTATTAGCCCAAACTTATCTGCCCAGTATTTGATGGAGGCTGCAATGCCCACAAGCAGCCACATGAGGATCGCTCTGGGGAAGGCTAGCCAGTGATGGGTGGGCACTAACTCGTGGAGTATGCAACAAGTATCTAAGGGGTGACTCTTCTGCCCCCAGCTCACACTGGCTGATAGGTAACGTCTCTGCGGGAGCTGAAGTGAATTAATGAACAGGCATCAGAGCAGCTGGGACAGATGCTGGGGCAAAGGCTATCCACCAACCAGTATGAAAGCATTTCAATGTGTTTTTCTGTGGTACTGGGGACGGAACCCAAGGCCATGCATATGCTAGGCAAGCACTCCACCACTGAGCTGCACCCCCAGCCCACGTTTCAGTATTCTGACAACTGAAGCAGTCATATCTGTGTATGTGCTATTTACCATCCATGAGCGGGGAGGCAGGCTGCATGGCCGGAAGGTGCTGAGCAAGCCTGGGAGCAGGCATCAGAGACATGCACATCTGGAATCATCCCTCAGGAACACAGTAGCCTACCTGCCAGCACTTCATCATCTGCCTGCCCACCATGGGGCATCTCTCCATGAGTGAACACTTCCCACATCAGCACACCAAAGGCCCAGACGTCAGACTTGGTGGAGAAGTCACCCTCCAGGATGGCCTCAGGGGACATCCAGCGCAGTGGCACCCAGGCCTGGCGGAAGTGGTAGTACTCACTGCAACAGAAAAGCAACATTAGGAGGGAGGTAGATGAGGCCACAGCCTGGGGCTCCAACCCTGACCTTCATGAAGGCACTCAGAAACTGTAACACAAACACTGAGCACAGGGGGCACAGGGTCAACTCTGGATGACCCTGTGGATGGTTTAAAACTTTCATTAATGGTACACTGCCAAATCCCAGTACTGCCAAAAAGCCAAACCAAGCCAAATGAACAAAACAAAAAACTTCCATTAAGGACCATATTTTGTTTGGATGCTGATGACTCAAGCCTGTAATACTAGCTCCTGGGAGATCGGGATCAGGAGGAGTGAGGTTCCAGGCCAGCTCAGGTAAACAGTTTATGAGACCCCCCATCTCCAAAATAATCAATGCAAAATGGACTAGCGGTGTGGCTCAAGCAGCAGAGTGCCTGCCTTACAAGCATGAAGTCCTGAGTTCAAACCCCAGTCCCGCCAAAACCAAAAAACACATTTTGCATATGTGTCAATAAAAGAAAACTAATAATCATAGATAAACTCTATTTTTTCTTTTTTTTTTTTTGCAGTACTAGGTTTTGAACCAAGGGCTTACACCTTGAGCCACTCCACCAGCCCTTTTTTGTTATGGCGTTTTGTGATAGGGTTTCGCAAACTATTTGCCCAAAGTTGGCTTTGAGTCGAAATCCTCCTGATCTCTGCCTCCTGAGTAGAGTAGCTAGGATTACAGGCGTGAGCCACTGGCACCTGGTTATAAATACACTGTATACTGGTTTAAAAAGATGTGAAAAACAGCTGGGCACTGGTGGCTCACGCCTGTAATCCTAACTACCTAGGAGGCAGAGATCAGGAGGATGGTAGTTCAAAGTCAGACCAGACAAATAGTTCTTGAGACCATATCTCGAAAAATACCCAAAACAAAACGGGCTGGAAGAGTGGCTCAAGTGGCTGCCTAGCAAACATGAGGCCCTGAGTTCAAACACCAGCATACCAAAAAAAAAAAAAAACGGAAAACAAGATCTTCATCAGTAATAAGCCAATTGTGACCAAAGCAATAGTCAGATAAAGCAGGGGCAGTTGGAGCTAGGGCTAGGGTGACTTGGGAGGAGGTTCCCAGGAAGTGGCATGCAGTATGTCTCGGCACTCCAGAGTGGTCTCTGGCCATGTGGGCCAAGATTTAAGTAACCCTTCAAAATAATTACTGAATTCAAGAAGTTATAGGGGAGCCATACATATTAACTGATTACATTTTCCTAGTTATCAAAGAAAGATTGATCATTTTTTATCACTAGAGAAAACTGACTTATCAGGAAGCCTACTGCACCTTTGGAAAAAGAGGGAGGAAGAACGTACCCTTCCAGGTCCTTGAGCTTTGGACTTAGCAGGCACTCAGCCCTTTCCTACACCCTTAGAAGCTGCACCTGTCCTCCACCTCACACCCTCAGGGAAGGGGTGGTAGCCCACCCTACGGAGGCCCTTCTACCTGTTGTACACATCCTTGCTGAGGCCCAGAGCTGACACCTTCACCTGTCTCTGGGCACTGACCAGGCAGTTGCGAGCAGCCAAGTCCTTGTGCACGAAACGATTGTTGGACAGGTGCTCCATGCCCAGGGCCACCTGGGTGCACAGGGCCACCTGGAGAGAGAAGAGAACCTGTCAGAACAGCCCAGGACTCAGGGATAAGGTGACCATCCTGGACACAACTTTTAGTTGTGCTACTCCAAGGCTCTTCGAGTGCTGCTTAGGAAGCCCCAAATGACAAAAGTGGCCTCAGTTTCATCTATAAAATGGGATAATACAGTACCTGCCTCAATGGAATTTTGGGAAGCTGAATTAAAGTAGTGCGCTGGAGGCGTGGCTCAAACAGTACACGCCTGACTAGCAAACATGAAGCCCTGAGTTCAAACTTCAGTATCACTTAAAAAAAAAATTCTTGGCACCATTCTGACACCCAGCAAGTGTTGGACAGTTGTTGAGTAGGAAAATAAATGGACAGTAATTCCACCTTATATCTTTTTTTTATCTTTTTTTTTTTTAAATCTTTTTTTTTTTTTTTTGCAGTCACTGGGGTTTGAACGCAGAGCCTACACCTTGAGCCACTCCACCAGCCTTTTTTTGTGTTGGGTTTTTTTGAGCTAGGATCTCAGGAACTATTTGCCCAGGCTGGCTTTGAACTGTAGTCCTCCTGATCTCTGCCTCCTGAGTAGCCAGGATTACTGGCGTGAACCACCAACATCTTTTTATACCTTTATGAGTTGCTTTTTTGCCTTTTTCCTTTAAAAGTGTGTATTTTTTACAAGCTATATAAAACTGTGTGTGTGTACCACGTGTGTATGAATAAGACATACATGACTGAGTGCATCCACGGAAAGGAACTAGAAGCTAGAGAGTAGACAGGTAGAAAACTTTGGGCTAACTTTTTTTATTATTATTATTGCAAAAAGAAACAACCAGGCTGGATGCTGGTGGCTCACTACTGTAATCCTAGCTATTTGGGAGGCTGAGATAGGGAGGCTCACAGTTGGAGGCCAGCCTGAGATGGAAAATATCCCATCTCCAAAAAATAACTGGAACAAAAACTGGACTGAAGGTGTGGCTCAAGTAGTAGAGTGCTTGCTTTGCAAGCACAAAGCCCTGGGTTCAAACCCCAGTCCCACCTAAATAAATAAATAAATAACAGGTGCAGTGTATACACCTATATTCAAGAAGCTAAAACAGGAAGATCACTTGAGTCCAGGAATTTAAGAACAGTCTGGGCACCATAGCAAGACCCTGTCTTTAAAAAAAAAAAAAAAAAAATAGAACAAAGCCAGGCATGCCTGTAATCCAAGCACTCAAGAGGGTGAGGCAAGAGGATTGTGAATTCCACTCCAGTCTGGGATGCACAGCAAGACCTTGTCTTAAAAAACACACATACAGGGCTGGCTGAGTGGTTCAAGATGTAGAATGCCTGCCTAGCAAGTGTGAGGCCCTGAGTTCAAACCCCAGTACCACCAAAATAAAAAAATAAATAAAGGTGATTTAAGAAACACACATACATATAAATAAATGTTTTTAAAAAATCAACAATGCTGGCACCTCAGAAACCTCAAGGGTTTCTTCTCAATGCTGTATTCTACATTCTCCCTCACCTTAAGAGGTAACCACTAGGGCTGAGGGCATGGATCAAGTGGTAGGGCACCTGTTTAGCAAAGCGTGAAGCCCTGAATACAAACCCCAGTATTGCAAAAAAAAAAAAAAACCAAAAAAAAGAAAAAAGAGGCAACCACTGCCCAGACCTTTTTTCCCCCCAAACCTTTGTGATAATAATTTCTTTCTTGTTTTTCATAGTTTACCACTTCCACACATGTTTGTAAGCAATACAATCTGGTCTTGCCTATTTTGGAGTCAGATAAAGCTGGAAGCACATGAAATGTTACCTTTTGTGCCCTAACTTTTTTCACTCCACATTGTGACATTCATCTTAAAAAAAAACAATAAATCATTGTTCTTGTTTTTTTTTTTTATCATGAATATACACCATAATTTAATCAAAGGCTATGTGGCTTGTTTCCAGTCCTGGGCTCCTGAGCACCACATTGCTAGAGTACACTTACAGGTGTGCACATGAGTGAGTTTCTCTGAAGGCACCTGGGGAGTGGTGGTCATGGACTATGAGTATCTCTAGCTCTACAAAATAATGCCCAGTTATTTTCCAAAGTGAGAGAGCACTGGGAAGATTTTTCACTGGTACCCTTTTCTGAATTTTGAGCCATGTGAGTGCCAAGCCAGCTGTATTATACATATTACACATAAAATGTGATTAAATCAAATTAATATTTTAAAAGTACATATTACTGCACTGAACAAATATGAGTTCAGCATCCACTATGTGTTAGATCCAGCAGATACTAGTAGAATATAACAGGACTGGCCAAGACAGGGCTCCTGGTAAGAGGACAGACAAAGAAGGAGACAAGAACTGTGCCTGCAGAAGGGTACGACCACCAGGGATTGGTGAGTCATGCCAACCAGTAAAATCAGAGCACCGTGACAGTGCTTGTAAAGGACACATGGTCCTTTCGCCTCTATGCCTTATCCAAACCTTGGGAGCAACTGCAGACAGATGTGTGGGACCTGTAGCACTCCCTTATAGATAGTAACAAGGCAAACAGAAAAGCAAAGAGGTCCCTGTGACCCATGGAAACTACTGGACAAACTGCTGGCCACCTATGTGTTTCTTCAGACATATAGACTCGTTCTCAGGATCCCTAAGGGAGAAGTGACCCATCACGTAATGCAATCATGGAGGGACAAAGATAAGAACATGGCCACTAGCCAGCATCACTGTTGATCAAGGAAATACAAACTAAGACCCAATGACATATCGCTTTATACACACCCCACTGCAGAGGTTCAAGTCTGTCTTCAACTTATCTCAAATGATCCAGAAGAAAATTGTCTTTCTAATAACATTCCTATGTACATTAAAAACAGAGAATGATAAAACAAATGGAGCAAAATATAAACAACTAAATCTGGGTGAAGGTTTGCAGGAGATTCTTGATCGGTTCTCATACTTTTTTTTTTTTCTGTACTGGGGACTGAACTCAGGGCCTTGTGCTTGTTATGCAAGTGTTCTACTACTTGAGCCTTGCCCCCAGTCCTTTTGCTTTTTAGTTTACATTTCAGATAGGGTCTTCTGCTAACTTTGTCCAGGCTGTTTCCAAACTGTGATTCTCCTACCTCCACCTCCTGTATAGCTGGGACCACAAATGTGCACAACCAGACTTGGCCTTTGTCTTCTACACTTTAAAGTATGAAACACCAAAATTAAATCTTACCAGAAACACACACGCACACACACAGCCAATAAGCACCTTAAAAAAACAGTAACTACCACATAAGCAAAAGCAGGCTAAGTGTGGAACAATAATGAAAGTATGTTATGGAATAGCCAAGGATTATTTGTGCTTTATCTGAGTCTATGCTCCTAAGGCCCCAAAAGGGAATGGGAATGGCAGGAGCTCCTTAGTGCAAGGAAGAGCGCAGCCACTCCGAGGAGAGTAGGGTGGGGTGGGTTCAGTGGCAGAGCACATACTGAGCATACTCAAGGCCCAGGACTTCTAATAACTAAATAAATGGGAAGGGGACATGTGGCGAACACCTACTGTACATCAGGCCCCGTGCGAGGGAGCTGCCTTTCCTTACACACATGCATGGAGGCAGTGCTCCTCCTCAGCATTGCCTGAGGAGCCTAGCCAGGCTTTATATCCCTGGTTAGCTTCACCAGTCTGGCTCCCAGAGTCACAAGCAGGCCAGCAGAGGAGCTGCCTCTCCTGGAGAGGGGTCACTCAAAGACAGTTCTTCTCAATCTTCTTTTTTTTCCCCCCTGGTACTAGAATTTGAACTCAGGGCCTACACCTTGAGTCCTTTTATGTGATGGGTTTTTTTGAGATAGGGTCTCATGAGCTATTTTCTAGGGCTGGCTTCAAACCACGATCCTCCTGATCTCTGCCTCCTGAGTAGCTATGATTACAGGTGTGAGCCACTGGCACCCAGGTTCTTCTCAGCCTTCTTGTGCACTGGCCAGTGAGATTCCTGTGGGCCTCTTCTGGAAGTGTGCTAACTACAATCATAGCCTGTTAATATGAAACCAATTTATATGAAGGAAGGAGGGGAAGAGGAATGGAGGGAGGGAGGGAAAGAAGGAAGGGAGAGAGGAAGAGAGGGAAGGAAAGAAGAAATGGAGGGAGGAAGAGAGGGAAGGAAAGGAGTGAGGGAGGGAGGGAGGGAGAAGGGGAAGGAGGTAGGGAGAAAGAAGAAAGACCTGTTGACTAACAGCACTTAGGAGGGGGAGGCAAGAAGATATGGAGTTCAAGGATAATCTTGATTATAGAGCAAGACACTGTCTCAAAAAAAAAAAAAAAAGAATGAATGAATGAAAGAAATGGAATAGAAAATATCAGAGCACATCACACTTAGTAAGATATCAAAGTACACATTACACACGTATGTGTACTGACATAACACGGGTTGAGATGTAAAATGAACTTTTTGTTACTGTAGGTCTCAGTCAAAGAAGTTTAAACAGCAATGGTTTAAACCTGCACTTGTCTAAAACAGTAGTCACTATCCATCTGGCTATTTAAATTTAAGTTAATTGAAACTTAGTAAGATTTAAAATTCAGCTTCTCAGTGGCTCTGACCACTTTCAAGCATTCAGCAGCCAGATGAGGCTAGAGCCAACCATCCTGGCTAGCACAGAGAACCTTCAGTCATCATAGGGATTCTATTAGACAGCCCTGAGCTAAACAACCATCAGGATGGACCTCACTACATAGGCCAACGTATAGCCTGACACTGGATTAACACAAAAGTGCTGCATGAGCAACGCCATCAGAGTTGGGGAAAATGAGGAGAAGCACATCTTCTTTACTTTATTACTTTATTAAGGTAATACTTTATTACCTTATTAAAGTAATACTTTATTACTTCATTAAAGTAGAGGCCACACCCCCCAAACAAACCCTGGAGGACCATCTTCAGAATGCTCCAGCCAACAACCCTGCTGCTGGGTCAAAGCCCCAGAGCACTGTCCTCTCTGTAAGTGGCAGACAGAGGCTCCAGTCATGAGCCCCCATCAGCCTGCGATTCCCCTCAGCTGCCCTCTCTGATCTGGCTCACAGCTGAACAGTGGGCATCTAGTCAAGGGAAACAAGAGGACAGTGGGCTTGGTGTAGTTACTAACATGCTCTTTCTAGAGACACAGAGCTTCTGGAAATACAGGCTAGGTTAAAAGGGAATTCTGTTAGACCTAACCCACCCAATGAAGTGTTTCCTTGCTGCTTGGCAAGACACTATCAGAGGCCATTGGGTTAATTTTTAAATACTGTTATAAAGACCTATTCCTTGGTAAAGATCAGACCCACTTCTTCCTTTCCAACTTTAACACCCAACAGCTTGCCCAAGCCCGGGCTCGCCCACTGTGACACTACTGAGCTGTTCCCACAATGGGCTTTCTGGTTCCCTCACGGCATCAGACTGCGTAATGTATGGCCCTCCATGTGTTCAGCTGATCCTGTGTCTCCACTGTGCAGGTGACCCCCAAAGCAAGCACAGGTCAGTGCTCTGCCTGCAGTCCCTGCTCTGACATCATCTTATCAGCTACTCTGACAGGCATCACATACAGTTATGCCAACTCCCAGGACCTGTCTTTCATTTTTATCTCTTTTTGGTTTTGGCAGTACTGCAGACTGAACTCATGGAAATTGCTTTACCAGCTAGAGGTAGGCAAGTGCTCTACCGCTTTGAGTCACCCCAGTCCTTTTGCTTTTTGTTTGTATTTTGTATAGAGTCTCATACTTTTGGCCTGACAGTCCTAGGAAAGTGAGCCTCCTATCTTCACTTCTCAAGCAGCTGGAATTATACGTGTGTAACACCACACCTGGACTGTCTTTCATTTTTGTCACCTCCCACTGCTATCTTGAAATTCTCTTGGAGCTCCCCTTAGCCACCCACACCGAAGACAGCACCTCTGTTCCAATTTTAGCTGGCTAGGGGTTTGACTGCCCTACCACTCCACCTCCCTCTAAAAAGTTGGCTCTTCCTCCTTTCATTTCTTCCCCTGGGCCCGGGGAATATAAAGTGACAGAATAGCTCACAACTTTATCAGCAGAAAGAAGCACCTACACATTTTAGTGTATCTTTGCCAAGAATTTTCATTTTCATAGAATCCCCAAAAGCAGTTCTTTTCAAACTGCTCAATATCCATGTGAGTTTAAACCATTTTAGTGGGTTTATAAAACAAGAAGAAAAAGTGTCAGGCATGGTGACGCATGCCTATAATCCCAACAATCAGGAGGCTGAGGCAGCATACATGAGACCCTATCTCAAAATAAACAAACAAACAAGAAAAGATATCAAGTTTCTCAAATACAATGTTATAAAAGTTTTAATTTTAGGTATGGAAGTGTACATGCTTGTTGGGGGCGGTGTAAGTGTATGCATGCTGGGGCATGAGTAAAATGCATTTCTTACAGGAGATTCTAATCAAAAACTTATTTTGAATCCACTGGTCTCCAACATGGCTCCTCAATTTAATTTTTTTCCTTTGGTGTTGGGGACTGAACCTAGGCTTCAAGCACTTGGGCTCCTGGAATTTTAATGAATTTAAGAATGAGCTGGTGTAGTGGTACATGCCTGTAATCCCAGCTACTTGGGAAGCAGAGGTGGGGCATCATAGTTGGAGGCCATCCAGGAAAAGTTAGAGCCTCTGTCTCAAGAACAAAAATGAGGGGCTGGTGGTGTGGCTCAAGTAGTAAAGTACCTGCCTAGCAAGCTTCAACCCCTGAGTTCAAACCCTAATACCAACGGGAAACAAACAAACAAAAAAAACTCAAAAAGGCTGGGGGCCGAACTCAAGTGGTAGATCTCTTGCCTAGCAAGAGTAAGACCCTGGGCTTAATCCTCAACACTGAAAAAACAATCAGCTGGAGGGGCTGGAGTTGCACTTAGCAACAAGGCCTGGATTCAATTCCCAGCACCAAAAAAGGATCAGTTGCCCTTAGACCCCACTTTCAAGAATTCCGAGTCCCTCATTCTGTGGCATGGTCCAGAAATCTACCTTGTCTTGACACAGTGTCTCTTCTATCTCTTTTTTTGGCAGTAGTGAGGATTGAACTCAGGGACTTAAACTTGCTAGGCAAGGGCTCTAGGACTTGAGCCACGCCCCAGTCCTGAGCTGAAGTCTATGTCGCTCAGGCTGGCCTCAAACTCCTGGGTTCAAAAGGGATCCTTCTGCCTCAGCCTTCTGAGAGGTGTGCACCACCTCACCTAGCAAAATCTGTACTTTTTAAAAAAGCAGTTCCTTTTTTCTAATTCAGAATATTGTCCTTGAAGAATGCGGAACTTGGCTTATTAAAACTCCCTCATCAAATCAAGATGCTATGGCAAGCCAGGAGCCAGTGGCTCGTGCCTGTAATCCTAGCGACTCAGGAGGGAGAGATCAGAAGGATGGAGGTTTGAAGCCAGCCTGGGCAAATAGTTCAAGAGACCCTCTCTCAAACACCCATCACACACAAAAAAAGGCCTGGTAGAGTTCTCAAGGTGTAGGCCCTGAGTTCAAGCCCCAGTACCGCAAAGCATGGGAGAGATGTTTAGCGAAGAGAGATGTTTGTCAGATGACCTCAGGTCACATGACAAAGGTTAACTACTCACTTTCTATCAACCTGTCTTCATTGTTATTGTTATTATTTTCTGACTGGCAGTACTGGGGATTGAACTCAGGGCCCCACATTTGCTAGGCAACTGCTCTACCACTTGAGCCACACTCCCAGCCCCACTGGCTTTTGTTGTTGTTGTTATTTGTTTGTTTGTTGAGATATGTTCTCAATATGTAGCCTAGGCTGGCCTGCTTCTGCCTCTGGGATTAGAGGTATGTACCACCACATTTGTCTAGATATCAGCCTATGTCCCTGTCCCAGCCACAGAAATCAAGGTATGATCCTCTCTCTCCTGAAGCCATCCCCTTCCTGCCATTGAACTACTTCCTGTCCTTGAGAACTGAACTCAAATGGCTTTCTCTACCAGGAAACCTTCTTTGTTAGCCACAGCTGTCTGTCCACCTAAAGGACAAGGAAATCTTCCACATCTTTTATTGATGCCTCCCACTCACTTCCCGTTGTGCCGCAAGCCCTTAAGTCTGTAAAACCATACTCATTTACCTAACCTCCCCCTAGACCATGAGTGTCCAAGGGGGAGACACCCACTCACAGTGTGGGTGCTCAAGGCCACACCCGGCACCACAGCCCGTGGACATGCCATGCTTGCTGCTTCTCTGCATAGGGCACACTGTAGGCAAGCAGATGCCCTGCTCTAACAGGAAGCTTGACCACACGACAATACAAGGCTACTTTTAGGGTACACAACTTGGGCAATTCACTTAACATCACTAAGCCTCAATTTGTCCACAAAATGGGGATAGTACCACCTATTTCAGTGGACTGCTGTGATAATTAGCACATGCAAGGGCCATAAGACCTGGCCTCAGGGAGCACTGAATAAATGGTACCTCTGTCACTATCACTGCCCTTGTTCCTGGCCTATCCTTAGGGACCTTCCTCCCCACTCGCCCCACCTTGTTCTCACCTTCTGCTTGGTACTGAGGGGCTGTGACTTCAATTTTTCATCCTTGCTCTTGGAAATCCTCAGGAACTGTTTGAGATCTCCCTGAGGGAAGAATCAGGCATCTGTCAGGGCAGAGCCCAGTCATGGGTTCTAAAACACCAGACCACAAAAGCACTTAAAAAAAGAGTCCCTGCTCAATGAAGGTGAGAAACCTGAACCGAATACCCACCCAGCCCGCTCAGAGCTGGGAGATTTGAAAAGCGGCAGTTTGAGGACCAGCGCGGTCAGGGCCTGGAGCGCTGGGCAGTGAAGAGGAAGGGCTCTGGCAACGACAACCTGGCAGAGAGGAAAAGGCTCATGCCAAGAGAGAAACTGGGGGGTGGGGAAGGAAGAAGGTAAAGATGGAGTGAGGAAGGGAGGGAGAGAAGGAAGAAAGAAGAAAGGGAAGAAGGAAGGGAGAGCAGGAGGGAAGGAGGAAGACAGGCTTGGCTAGGTTCTGATAGGCTTATTATTCTCAAGTGTTGACAAGCCTTGGAAAGAACAAAACAACAAACCAAAGAAAATGAGTCAGGAGGACATGGAAGACATCCATGGAGAGTGCAGTGAGAAGCCCCAGAGAACTTAGGAATGACCCCCAGACACAGACAGGAGAGATGGGGTGCTGGTGAAGGAACGGCAGTTGTCTCCCAAAGAGCTGGGAGGGCAGGGAGCAGAGCATCTCCAGGGGGCAACGGTAGGCAGGTGCATGGCGCTCTTGGCTGAGCCACAAAGGCAAGGCCTCCATAGTGTTTCCCAGTCTCTGCCTCCTGCCCTGTCAGCACATCATCCAGCTGAAGACCTCCAGGTCCCTAGCCCACAGCGTACCAAGTCCACATACTCCAGCACCATGTAGTGGGGCTCGGCCTCCCGGCACAGCCCCAGAAGCCGCACCACATTGGCATGGTTCAGCTTCCCAAACATCTCAAACTCCCTCCGGAAGTCCAGCTGCTGCTGCTCATCCTTGCTTTGAAGGCTCTTCACAAGCACCAGGGATTCTGCCACGCCCTCCTCCAGGCCCTGCGCCTTCGCCAGGAACACCTCCCCAAACTCGCTTTTCCCTGTGGGTAAAGGACTGCCTCAGCCAGCTGCTTTTACCCAAGCAGAGGAAGCTGCTGACTGGGGCAGGGGGCTATGGCCTCTTTAGACAGTAGGGGGTCGGTCTTTGCAGCACCCACCACCAAGGTGGCACTAGACCTGGTTCTACAGTGGGCTCCCTTCCATCCTTGGGCTTCGGTGACACCAACAGTAAAATTAAGGGTTTGGTATAAAAACATTGCCAAAGGGTGGTTTGCGTGAGAATTTTGGGTGGCTCATGATACACACATCTAATGGTTACAAATTTTACGTATGTTAGGGAAAAATTTAACAAGCACAAACCCATAATTTCTTACATTTTTTCCTAGAATAAAGCTAAGTTCAATTCTTTTTTGGGGGGGTAGGGAGGGCACTACTGGGGTTTGAATTCAGAGCCTCACACTTGCTAGGCAGTTGCTCTGTCACTTGAGACACTCCATCAACTCATTAATTCTTTTTTTAAAGGGAGTCAATTTAGCAAAAACGCCAAGTAAATAATACTATAGATAGGACACAGGAATGATACAATCTGTGTAGGGCTTATGACTAACACACAGGGAACCCCCAGGACCTCTACCTGTCCCACCATCTCTAGCATGCTAGGTTTCAGGGACATCAGAACCACTATCACCCCATGGCCTGGCCTTAAGACAGAGCCGATGCCCTGAAGTGAAGCAATGGCAGCTGTAGCCAAGGCAACATACCCAGTGTGGTGATGGGCTGCAGGCTGGCCCGAGAGAAGTGCATCCTATCACTAGTGCTATGACGCTTGTTGGTGGCCGAGGTGCCGGAGCCCAGACTGGTCAAAGCCACTTCCTCTTGGATCTCTGCTGAGGGTTGCCCATTCTGCAAAGGCCCACCTGTGAACAGAGACACAGGAGAGTATCACAATGAGACCTGACACTCTAGACACCGCAAGGACCTCAGTTCCCTCCCCTATTCTCCTATGCCTGCTGACTGGGGTCCAGTCAGTGTTCCACATGAAGGGCCAGTCCCACTGATAAAATGATGGTGTTTGGGAAGAGGCCAGGATAAGGCAGGCATCCCTCAGGGGTTGACTACTTATTGATGGAGCTGATTAGGACCTCTGAAATGAACATACTGTAGGAGTCTAATCTGAAGCACTGGTCCTGAATACTATATCTACATATGGGTTTTGGGTTTCATGGGACCTCCTATGTGCAAAGCCCTGAAAAGATGCAAAGGAGAAATCACACAAGGGAGACCCAATCCCTGCATCTGAGTGCCTAAACTGACTGGAGACCTAGCAATTCCCCTGAGTATGGACAGAGAGATCACCCCTGTGGAACCCTGACTAGTGGGGTGGGAGTGAGGGGGAGATGTATAAGAGACATGTTTACTTATACCAATTCTATCTGTGGCTTAGTGCTAGGAGAGAAGGCAGGGAAACAGCAGGCAGGGGCCCAAGAGGCTCCAGTGAGGAAGTCTTGGGCCATGTTCAGAAGCCAAGGCCCTGGGAATGAGCCAACTCCCGACTTCTAGCTAGGGGTGGGGCAGCCCCAGCTCCAGGCCCAAGCCCGTTTCCTGCAGTGCTACAGCTCTCCCCTCCACAGCTGCCCACGGGAGGGCGCTCAGCACCCACACAGGCCCCACCTCCTCCCACAGGGGCCCTCACCCTCACCGTTGAGGCACTCCATCTCTGGCTCCTCGCCCTCTGGCTGCTTCTGCAACCGCTTGGCTTTACAGCGCTTTTTGCAGTAGAACATGAGGCCCAGCACAGCGATGATGTAGGCTACAGCGGCACCCACCGACAGCCCGATGGTCTGGATCATCTTGTATGGGGGAGGGCTTCCCAGGCCATCTGAGTTCTCGTCCAGCATTGGCTTGTCTGAGGGACACACAGATAGGCATGGGCAGGAGTTGCTGAAGCAAACCAAGCTGTTGCTCTACTAAACCTCCCCACCCCACATATATGACCCCAGCTAGTCCCCCTCTCTCTTTCACTTCCCAGACACCATGCAGTGAGCAGACCTCTGCCACACTGCTCCTGCCATAGTGTACTATTCTACTACAGACACAATGCAAAAGGGCCAATCAACGATAGACTAAACCCTCTGAAACCATGAGCTAAGATAAATCTTTCCTCCTTCTAAGTTTAAGGAGATCTGGGAAGAAGCATTTTTGGAAGAAAACACCCTTCTACTTATCTAGCCATGGAATGTTACATGAATGACAACTCAGTTCTAGACAAGGAATCTAAGACTATGTGGTGGCATGGTGTAGGGACCACCCTTGAATGACTCCTGGACCACCACCCTGAAAATGGTTTGTGTTCTGGGAAAGTTTGGCCCACCACTTCAATCTATGCCCACACTACTCTTCTCTAGTCCATACCCACGACGTAGAGGGGAGCCTCCGTGTGTTTGATGTTGCAACTGTTGCCTGCAATGCAGGTGTAGCGGCCTGAGTCCTCGGGCGCCACATCATGGATCACCAGAGAGCCATTCTGGAAGATGTGCATCCTGCCGGGAGAGAAGTCACAGCACTGCCCACCTGGCTGGCTCCCAGGAAGCCATGACTGCAGGAGAGGCAAAGTGGTGTAGGAAAAAGGCTGCCCTACCTGGGTCCTAGCTTGGTGGGGTCCAGGATACGGTCTTTGCCCTTCCACTGAATGAGTGGTTTGGGGTCTCCCTGGGCCTCGCACCGTAGTAGGGCCGTGTGCCCCTGATACACAGTTGTGCGTTCTGGCTCCACCTTGAAGGTGATGAAAACTGGATGGGAAGAGATCAACAAGAGGCAGGGAGAAGTGAGCAATGGGGCCAGCAGGGCACAATCTACCGCCCCCCCCAGGGCTACTGGCTCTGGCCTTGGGGCCCTGCCACGGTCCCACCTGCAACAGTGAGCTGGACATGGGCACGGATCTGGCCTTGTGGCCCGTTGGAGGCAATGCAGGTGTAGTTGCCAGCATCATCTCGGGTCACTCGGGCAAAGTGTAGGGTTCCGGCATTGTCTGTCACCCACTCGGGGAGACTGCTCCCATCTGCAGGGGCAATAAAGAGGAATTATGGGATGGATTAGAATTACACGGGTGACTGACAAGGCTATTACTCAACCTCTACTCAAAAATAAGCCATCACTTCTGACTATTCATGGGCAAAGTCTAAACTCCTGAGCCCGGTATTGGAGCCCCCAGTTGTTGACTCCTTTTCTGCTTTTCTGGTCTCAACTCCTATTGTTAACCATGCAGCATTTCACTTCTCCTGGGCTGAGGACTGGCCTTGTTCACCTGACTGCCTGTTATTCTCCACCCCTACTCTCTGCCACCATCCCAGTCTTTGGATCCACTTGATGCCCCACCCGTCCCAGAAAGGTCCCCCAGAGCCCACTTCTTCTGCAGAACCTACAACCCGACCCTTATTCCCACTGTTGGTGCAAATGTGAAAATTGTTCCAACTCTTCAAAAACCATTCTGGCAACACTCATCAAGGGTTACATGAAAACCCACAGCTTTTTATATACACTTATCCCCATTTCTGGGACTCTTTCCCAAAGGAAATAAACCTAAATCCAGAAAAAAGCCCCACTAAATGTTGGCTTAGAGATATTTATTGTAGCAATTAAAAAAAAAAAAAGGTGATGGTGGCTAATAACCCAAATCTCTAATATTTAGGGAATACTAGTAAATTATGGTGGAATATTATTGCAATAATCAAAACCAACATTTATGCATAATATATAAAAACATGGGGAAATGCTCAATGTCAAAGTTAAAAACATATAAAGCCAGGTGTGGTAGTACACACCTGTAATCCTAGTACTCAGGAGACAGAGGTAGGAGGATCACAAATTTGAGGCCAGACTGGATTACACAGTGAGACCCTGTCTACCCTCCACAAAAAAAGGATATAAAATTTTATACATATAAAATGAACTACATGGGGATGTAGCTCAGTGGTAGAATGCTTGCCCCTAACATGTACAAGGTCCTGGGTTTGATCCCCAGCACCTTTAAAAAAAAAAAGCCTAGTGCCGGTAATCCTAGCTACTCAGGAGGTAGAGATCAGGAGGATAGTGGTTCGAAGCCAGCCCAAGGCAAACAGTTTGCAAGATCCTATCTCAAGAAAACCCATCACAAAAAAGGGCTGGAGAGAGGCTCTGAGTTCAAACACCAGTGACATCAAAGAAAAAAAATTAAATAAAATTAAAAAATTAAATTTAAATAAAATTCAAAAATAAGTTTTAATGACATTTTCTATTTTAAAACAAGCATGTTTAATAAGTAAAAGTTGCTTATACAATAAAACTCCTACGTAAAAATAAAACTACGCACAGAAAAGGACATATACCCAATGATGATGGATGATGGGTTATGCAATTTTTTTCACAAAATTTTCTCATGGAGCCCACGTTACTTTGACATTGGAAAGGGGGACTTCATAGCTAGCACTGAACCAATCCAATAACTTGTTGTCTTGAGGGGTCTTCTGTGTTCTCCAATGCTCTAATGTTCTCCAATCTGACCTCTTTGGGGCCTGGCTATCTCCTTCCTAACTAGACTACAAATCAGCCCTACATTTCTGATTTGTTCCTTTAGTCTCAGTGTTATGCTGGGAACTCTGTGCAGGCCCTCAGACTTGCACACATCTGACCAGTTGACTGCCCTGCCTGTCCATATCCTGTGCTCACATGGTACTCACCTGCCCTTACCCACTTAATTGTGGGTTTCTCTCGGCCAGTGGCTGAGCAGGGCACCGTGGCTTCTTTATCAAACTCCATGCACTGCTGTGGCTGGGGTGGTGGTGTGAACTTGAGCTTTTCTGTTTCATTAGAAGGCAGGTGGTGGGGGAGAAGAGGAGGAATTGAGGCAGCAAGAGAGGCCTGCTTCTCCCTCCCCTTCACTCCCCTGCCCAGATGGTCCAGGTGCTTCCTCGCAGCTACCTCTCCCCACACATCATGCATGCATGCCAACTCACCCAGCACTTGGACACGGGCTTGGGCCTCGATGCTGCCAGCTGGGGTACTGCTGACGCAGCGATACCATGTCCCGTCATACACTTCCACACTGTTAATGCGCAAGGTTCCGTTCTTGGAGACCTCAAATCGTGGGTCCTGCAGAACGCAGACATAAGCCCAAGAGGGCTAGTGCCCAAACCCATACCAGCACCTCCTTGGAGGCAGCCACAGTGGGAAGAGAGCTCTGGAGTGAGCACAGAGGGGTGCAGTGGGAGGGAACGCTCCCATCCGTAAGCCTCCATCCTTTCTCTTTCTCACCTCTGAGATGAGCATCTGGCTCCTGTACCAGATGACTGTGGGTTTAGGTGTGGCCTGGGTCAAGCAATGCAAATAGCCTGGTTTGCCCTCTTCCAGTTGGCTGTCTTGGGGCTTCTTTAGCCATGTGGGCACAGCTAGAGAGATGGGGGGAACAGTGAAGACTAATTAACAGGTCTTCAAGACAAAAGGTCCCAACTCCAACACGTTCCAGTACCCCACTCTGCCCTGTATTCAGAAACCGCAGGCTGCTCGACTGATATACTACAGCAGTTGGCCCTTAGTGAAGGTCGGTGCCAGTACCCTCCATCGTTATCTTAAACTCCCAATTTAAAGCTAATAAACAGAGGTTCAAAGACATATTGGTGATTTGCTAATCTATGATGGAGACAGGACTTAAAATGCTGACCCACATAACTTCACCACACTGGCTCTTCATATGACACCATCATGTGCCAAACCTCAGTGTTACGGTTTGAAGATGAAATGTCGCCCACAAGCTCATGTGTTGAAGGGCTGGTCCCCAGCTGGTGGTGCTATTTTGGGAAATGGTGGAAACTTTAGAAGATGTGACTTAACTGGAGGAATTAGGTCACTGGTGGAAGAACGTATCTTGTCCCTGGCCCCTTCCTCTGTTTCTCTCTGCTTCCTGGCCACTGTGAGGTGAGTAGCCTCTGCTACACACTCCTGCTGTCATGATATTCTGCCTTGCCTCAGGCCCAAAGTGATGGATCCAGCCGACTTTGCACTGAAACTTCTGAAACCATGAACCAAAATGAATCTTTCCTCCTTTTAAATTTCTCTCAGGTATTTGTTTGACTAACACACTCAGTCCTCAGAGCTCTGTTCTATTTTAGCCATTGCAGCTCCCCAAATGATGTCCTTCAGTCCAGTGTCCTTCCATACTATAAGAATGGATGATTCCCAAGTCTCCACCCTAATTTAGGATTTCTCCCTGTGAGGTCCAGACTTGCAATCCAACTGCCTATTGGCACTTCTGAATGGATATCCAACAAGCACTCAAACATCGTATGTGCAGAAGAGAACACCTGATTTTTACCCCAAACCAGCTCATTCAAGCTCTCCCTGTCTCGGTAAGTAACAATGCTGTCCAGCCAATCATGGAAGCCACAGACCTAGCCTGAACTTTCCTCTTCATATGCCCCCATGGCCATTGCACTCATTCTACAACAACCCTACCTACTTTAGCTCCAACATACATCCTGAATTTGACCACCTCTCTACTGCACTACCCCCACCTCTACTCAAGCTCCTTCAAGAAGCTGCCCTGGACCGTTTCAGGCATCTAATAAATGGTCTCCCTGTTTATGCTCTTTCCCCAAACATTCTACTCAGAACAGTCAAAATGATCTTCTGAAAAGCCAGTCTTCACTCAAAACGCTGCAAAGATCTCCTACCCAACGTGGGGTTGCAAATTGCAGTGACAGCTATTAATGGTCTTCCCATTCTTTCATCTCTTTGAAATGTGATAGCCACACTTTCTCCATCAGGAGGCGATCTAATTCTCTACTCCCTAGAAGCTGGCTAGGCTGGGTCTTGTCTTGTTCACTAGAATATACAGCACAACAGTTGCAGCTTCCACTCTTGCTCTCTTGGAATCCAGTTTTCATGTGAGGAAGACTTTCCTAGCCTACTGGAGAAGCCCTGACAACTGCCAGACATATGAATGAGGCCACCAGAGCCCAGTCAGCTAGCTGACCCCTGAGCTGACCACAAGCACACATAGGCACCACAGGGAAGGCATGGAGCTGATGAGTCTCACTCAGAGAATCGGAAGCAAGTGGATGACTTGTTTCAAGCCAGCAGGGTTAGGAGTGGCTTGTTAGAAGGCAATGGATAACTAACATATGAGAACAGAAGCTGACGTTCATCCTATGTTCTTACAAGGTCTGTCTCTCAGACAACCTTAAGCCCTACAGACTACTACTGTCCTTCCAACCCACAAACCCAATTCTGTCTCAGGACCCATCACATGGCTGGCTCTCTCCTTAGTTTATGTATCAGTTCATCAGTTCAAACTCAAATGCCACCTTCTACAGAGGTCTCCCCTAAACTCACCATCTCTCTGTGTCACTAACCTTGCTAGTTCCTTCGTAGCTATACTGCACCTCTATACTTTTTTATTCAGTTCTTGTTTCATTTGCTTTGTCTCCCCATTAGAACAGGAGCCCACAAGGGCAGGTTTTTGCCTGCCTTTCTCAGTGCTGTACTGGGAATAGAGTCTTAGCATCAAGAAAGTACTCGGTGAATCTCTGCTGACTGACTACAGTTCTGAGCTCGCCTTCCTCTGAACTCTACACTCCACTACTCAGTGACTGATTCAGTGCTGCTTGCACCATGCACACCCTCTCAAACCCCACAAGCCCCCTTCTTACAGAGCAGCACAGAGCACCCAGCATGGTTCAGTCAGCAACTGCCGCCAAGTGACTGATCAGAGCCAGCAGCTTCCACACATGAGCGAGCATTAACACCATCTAGACTTGTTAACTAGATACGCTCTACAGGTGAGGGGTGGGGCCCAGGAGTCTGCATTGCTAAAAGTAGCCCTAACAAAGCAGATCCACAGGCTGCAACCAGAGAAGAGGCTGACTGTACATTTGCAAGTCACCGTGTAAGTGTCCTGAGCACCTGTAACCTGTGTCTGTGACTTCCCACCTGAACCAGGTACCTGAGTGCAAGACACCATGTCCTCTGAGATTTTAGCATCTTTTTGGGGGGCCTGGGGGGTAGGGGGAGTATTAGCTTTTAAACTCAGGGTCTCAAACATTCTACTGCTGAGCCGTGCCCCACCCCCAGCCCTTTTTGGCTTTATTTTCAGATATGGTCTTGAGGTTTTTGCCCAGGACTGGGCTTAGACAGTGATCCTCCTATGTCCACCTCCTGTGAGGTCAGGATTACAAATCTGTACTACCATGCCTGGCCCTGAGATTTCAGTGTCTTTGTGGGAATAATATCATTAGTAATGTGAAGTTAAATGAGAAAAGCAGATCACAAAATAGTTTTATGTACGCATATTACAGTTTGGTTTTGGCACTACTGGAGCTTGTTAGGCAGCTAGTCCACCACTTGAGCCATTCGGCCAGCCCTTTTGGCATTGGTGATTTTTGAGATAGGGTCCTACTTTTATGCCCAGGCCAGTCTAGACTGCAATCTGATTTGTGCTTCCCTGGTGTAGCTGGGATGACAGGCACACAGCACTGCACCAAGCCATGGGTTGGGTCTCAGTGAACTTTTTGCCCAGACTGACCTCAAACTATGATCCTCCCAATCTCCGCCTCCCAAGTAGCTAGGAACACAGCTTAAGTCACTGTGCCTGGCTTTGTGTATCCTTTTAAACTATCACAAAGGTTAGACATAAGACAGATGTAAGCCAGCAAACTAAAAAATAAGTCCCTTTGTCTGTTGGAAGGTATACAGTCTTTTTTTTTTTTTTGCGTTACTGGGGTCTGAATTCAGCACCTTGAGCCACTCCACCAGCTCAAGGTGCTGTGATGGTGTTTTTTAGTGATAGAGTCTCACAAACTATTTGCCTAGTCGGTTTGCAAAACATGATCCTCCTGATCTCTGCCTCCTTAGTAGCTAGGATTACAGATGTGAGCCACCAGCACCCAGCTGCAGTCTTTATCATAGGTACTTCCAGCCACATCTACTGCTTTTTTCCATAAGGAATAGGTTTAAAGAAACTTAGGAGGTGGGGCATAGCAGCATACATCTGTAATTCCAGCACTTGGGAGGATGAAGCAGGGGGATCATGACCAGTTTTTTGTTGTTGTTGTTTTTACTTTTAATTTTTTTTTATCATATTGTTGTACTGGGGGTACACTGTGACATTTACAAAAGTATTCAAATGTATCAGAGTTGAGTTCCCCTCACCCTCCATCATTCTCCTTTATTCCCCCCTTCCCATTCCCAGAATAGTTTCAGCAGTACACATTTTTCCATTTACATACATGAATACATAGAAGATCATGAGTTTGAAGCCACCCTGGACTACAGAGTGAGACACTGTTTCGAAACAAACAAACAAACAAACAAAACTCGAATAACAACTGGTACCTCCCAAAAAAGAAAACTCTTTTGCATTTAATACATTTGATCTTTCCATCTACTTTGAAGGGAAGTACTGGGTTATTAGCCCCATTTTATAGATGAGGAGGGCAGGTGATTCTAGCAGGGCAGGTAACTTGCTACCAGTGGTCACTGTGCATTGGGGGCAGAGTGGAACCCAGGTCTCACTATCCAGTGCTCTTTCCTCTGCAGCTAAAAGACCATATTTCTGGGAGGGCTGTCACTATTTCCTCTGGTGCATCCACCCCCCTCTATGCCTCACTTACTACTGTCTACTCCAACAGGAGTAGACAGACAGGGACTGATTCCCAAGGCTGCAGAGCCCAGAGCCAAGAGGGCTCCAGGTGAGCAACAGGGAAGCCTCTGTCCATCACATCTAGAGCCCAAGACCTCCTGGGACCCAGCTGCCTCCTCCTCTCTTTCACCTTCCGGGAAGAAGTACTCACTGGCCACAGTGATGTTGACATCCTGTCGCCGCTCACCAGCCAGGTTGGCTGCATGGCAGGTGTAGACACCAGCATCAGTCTCAGCAGTAATGGTAAACACCAGCTCATGGCCCTTCTGGTAGACCCTGCCATGGGCAGGCAACCGGACTCCGGCATGCTCCCACCATACACTGGGCTCTGGCAGACCTTGAGGTGCCAGGCAGACCACATGCTCCTCACTGCCGGCTGTGAACACCCGTGGCTCGAATGGCAACATGTCTTCAATCTCTGTGAGGATATGAGTGGGAGGTGAACGGCTCACTTACTGTGGGTCTTGGCGTACCTGATGTTCTCCCACAGCAAACCTAGGCTCCTTCCACCACAAAGCATCCCCTATAGCCCTCTGCATCTCCTCTTCCTAGCCCCAACATTCTCTTCTTCCTTCTACCCTTCGGGCTGCTAGCTGAGTTAAAAAAGAGTCTAAATCTCTATGTTCCAACAACATTGAACCCAACCCCACCTCGGCACCCTGAACCCACCTGCCAGGTGAAGAGTGGCTTCCAGAGTGATGGGTGGGCCTCTCTGCCCCTGGCCGATGCAGCGGTAGACCCCTGCGTTGCGAGGCCGGACCTGGGTCAACAGCAGGGACCCATTGGCAAACACCGTAGCTCTGCGGAGGTGTGGGGGACTGTGGAGGGGAAAGAGCGCAATTTGGAAGAAGTGGCTTGTAGGCCTCCTTCTGGAAGGGAATGCAATGGAATTCCATCTTGCAAGGATCAGACATATAGGAAGGAATTGGCTAGGATCAAGGCTGAGGAAAGGTTGGTGCATGTGTGTATGTGTGTGGGTATGTATGTATGTGAGTGAGCCACACTCCCAAGGACCATGGTTATGCCTGACACCACAAAGGTGTTCTCTGCCCTCCAAGAGTTTGGCCAAGAACAGAAGTCCCTACAGAGGAGCGAGAACCTCCAAACACTTTCTGGAGGTATTTACTTCCTCTAGAAAGTGTGTGTGTGCGTGTGTGTGTGTGTAAGGTGTCTACTTCCTCTAGAAAGTGTGTGTGTGTGTGTGTGTGTGTGTGTGTGTGTAAGGTGTCTATGCTATGTTACACCTTTTTATCCAGGCTGTGACCACATAGGTCCCCGGAGTCCCTCCTATCCTTGGGTCTCTACTCCCCTACCCCAGAAGACACATGCAGGCAAGAGGAGAAGGGGAAGAGAAGTAGAGTCACCACTAGCTCAGAGTGCCTTTGTGGGAACTGGAAAAAAAGTCCTTCCTAGAGACTCTTCTCTTTTTTGGGCTCATTTTGTATCACAAGACATTCTACTGCCATCTGCTGGAAATCCGAAGTAATACATGTACAAATCTATGATGCATGCTTGAGTTGAATCCCATCCCCTTCAGGAGAACACACATATGCAGTACACAACCTGCACCTCAGTACTGGGAGGCTCCCCGGCCAGGCTCTTACCGACTGCGGTTAGTGATGGGAGTCTCATCCTCAAAGACCCACTGCAGGTTTGGGGGTGGCTGGGCTGAGAACTGACAATGGAACATAGCCTCCTCGTTCTTTGCCACAACAACGTCCTGGGGTGCCAGCACCACCCTGGCAAAGCTTTCATCTGAGGCAAGGGGAAGCAAGGGGGGTGAGCAGGCAAGTGGTAGGCTCCCTCCCATTCCCGCCTCGCCTCTTCCATCCCCACGTCAGGCTCACCAGCAATGCTCAAGGTGAAGTTCTGGCTGCTGCAGGCCTGGCCGAAAGCATTGTGGGCACAACAGGAATAGAGGCCACTGTGCTCGGGACTGGCCGGCCGGAGGGTCAGGTTCCGCTCCTTGCTGCTGACTGTGTGGTTGCTCTGACCATCAGAGAGGGGGTTCCCATCTCGGAACCATTGGTAGGTGGGCCTGTGGGGCAAAGGCATGAGGAGGAGGAGAGAGGGGGCACTCAGTGGCCACTGGAGAGGACACAAAATCAAAGGGTCAGATCAGACACTCAGCTCACAAGTGGATAAATGGAGGCCTGAGGAAAGGAAGTGACAGAATGGGACTGATTCCACATCTCCCAGAATCCTGGTTGCACAGGGTTGGACCTCCTTGGGTCACTGGGGGTCTGGAGAGAAGAATCTGGGGAGGGGTAAAGAGCACTGTGGCGGGGGGAGTGGTTACAGACTGAAGCAAGGTACATCTGTACAGAGTCTAGGACTTGGGGCAGCCTCCCTACCAGCCTCCACCCCACCATTCTTGGCTCCTTACCGAGGGTGCCCATCAATGTGACAGCGAAGCGTGACCTGGGTCTGCGGCTGGATCTCAGCTTCTGAGGCTGGATGCTTCAGGACCACGGGACCTGCCTCAATCCCTGTAGCAGAGGCCAGGTTGCAGTGAGGGCCAGGTAGAGCAAGGGCCGGAAGGCAGAGGGGAAGGAGAACAAGCAGGAAACCTTGAGGCTCTGGGGATACACACTCACATACGCAAACACACACGCATACACACAGAAGCCCTGCAAAGCTGAAGCTGGGGATGGAGACCCCAGATACAGAGTGCCCACCAGGTCAAGCCTGCCATTTGGCCAATGGCTTCACTGCCCTTCCCATTAGTAAAACATCTGGCAGACAAATGGGCCCAAGACTTAAAGGGAAAAAAAAAAAATAGAAAAAATGAGATTTCTCAGTGAAAGAGTGTGTGCTTAGCATGTGCGAGGCCCTGAGTTCGAGGCCCAGAACCCAAAAGCAGGAAGAGTCGACCGCAACTGTACTCTGCCTGCCTCATTCAATTGGCAACGGGTGAAGCTGAGACAAAGCAGGGCTCCATATGGCTCGGCAGTGAAGGGTTTGACAGGGCACCAGGCAAGACCGTGGGCTCTCACATTTGATGTTGAAGGTGGCATTAGCACTCAGGGCTTCTTCTCCAGTCATGTCATCCCGAGCCACACACTGGAAGGCCCCAGAGTCCTGCAGCCGGTCCACAGCTGCAAAGCTCAGGCTACTGCCTTGGGCAAAACGCCGCTCGGTGTCCTGGACAGGGACCCCGTTGAGTAGCCAGTACACGTGCACTGGGCCGGGAGCTTCAACCTCACAGCGGAGGAGTGCCCGACGCCCCTGCAGTGCATCCTGGGAGGATGGCTCCTTGATGAAGACCATGGCTGCCTGGGTACCTGCGGATGAAGATGCAGAAGAGGCAAAGTCAAGAGGAGCTGAAGCCACTGGCCCAACATGGGCCATCCTGTGCACAGGAGGAAGAAAGGGCTGTGCACACAGGAAATGCCCAATAAATACAGGTGTGAAGGACCGTGTTACAATTGCCAAGAATCTGCTGAAGAACTTAAACTGTGCCCAGTGCTCTGTAGGATACAAAGACACAAGTATCCTCTCTCAAAGGGCGTCAAGTCTGGAGGACACACAGGTCAATTACACAGGACATGGCTGTAGCCAGATAAATGCTAAGTGGATGGTGCGGCAGTCAGTCTCTGCAGAGCACGGAGGAGGAATGGAGTCCTGAGGGCTGGATGAAAGAGCCTTCATGCAGGAACAGAGCCTCAGACCTGAGGAGCCAGATCCTAGAAGGTGTTGATGCCAGGCTGAGTGTCTTTCCCCATCCTTTCCCAGGTCACTAGAGAGTAATCTTGGCCCAGAGAGCACCCTCCCAAGTTCCTGGAGGTGGAGTTTCGTTCTTTAGGGTATGAAAATCCATTTTCTCATTAAGTCAGTGTCAAGACAAGTCCAGGATTCCCCAGGGCTAAGTCCAAATGAAGGGCTGCCCTGGTATTGACCCATCTCCCAACCTTCTCAAAGGTGCCAGCCCACTTCTCCCAACACAAAACACTCTGTGCTGGAAGTGGCACAGAGCACTCCTATTCCTTGTCAATGGGGCCCTATTGCTTCCCTGGACAGGACAATTCTCTACCACACTGGGAGATCCCACCTATCAAGCCAGTTAACAAATTGGCCTCCAGGTACTGCTGAATACCTCCATCCAGTTGTCTTGCCAACTCAAACACTCCCCTACACATTTCCAAGTGCTCTACAGGGGTGTGGCCCTGCCCCTGCTGGGCATCATGGTACAACTCCTTTGTAGTACAGATAGGTAAACCCAGCCCCAGAAATATGAAGAATTTGCCCAAAATCAGATAGCTCAGGTGTGACAAACCCAAGATCACAACCCAAAGAAACCAACTCCTAGCCCCACGCTTTCCCAGCCCCACCCTGGAAATACCTGATCTTAAAGGGGGAGGTGCTTTTCTCACAGCCAGGCAGTGGGGCAGACACGCCTCTTGCAGACAATGCCAGGCTCATCAGGGCACCCAGCAAACACAGGCCCAACTGAAGTAACCTCAAGTAACCCAGTATGAGCCAATCCCTGGTGTCGGGAATACTTCCTGCCCACCTCTTATGACACAGACAGACAGACTCAGGCTCAGGCCCCATTTGGCCTCTGCAAATGTGACTCACAAAAATCTTGGGACCCTCAACCTAGAACTCCAGAATGCTCATCAAAAAGCAAAGAGAGATGACCTGCCTTCAAAGTGTAGGTGAAGCCTATAAGCAAACGCCACTTCCTTGCTCACTTCCATAGACATAGTGGGGAGCCAGGAACCTTATCCACATGGGGGATTAGTTAATAATTCAGAGTCATACAGGCCAGGCTCAAATCCTATCACACGCAGTGTGTCTGACCTTGGGCAAGTGACAAAGACTGTGCCTTAGCTTCCTCTGTCTCACACATAAGGTGTCATGACCCATAAACGCAATGAAGTGTGAAGTGCATTAGCCAGAGTTCACCTTCAGTAAAAGGCAGCTACTGTTAAATGATCTCATGCTCACCCTTCCTTCCTAGGACTGAAATTCTGAAAGGTGAAAAATTCATTCAATATGAGGAGAAACCAGAGTATAAAATTCTAAGAACATTAGAAAGTTCTATCCTTGCCAAGGCCTAGGACCACGCCCAGGCCATGGGCAGAGACTAAAGGGAACCACCAGGGGATAGGTGGGATGAGGGAACAGGCCCTGGGAGGGCAGGAACCACAGACCACCTGCCACAGTAACCTGAGCAGGAGAAGAGCCAGCGTAACTCAGAGGGACCCCAGATCAACCCCAGCCACCCCCACAGCCTCAGGCTCCAGCATCCCCTCCTGGGTGGAAGCTGGGCTGCTCCAGGCTGTGGTAAGAGATGCTGCATTCCCAGACTGCCACTCAGAGCCCCCCCCACACCCCCCCTGCACCCCCACGACAGGGCCTGGGAAACATCAAAGCCAGCCCCAGAGGGGGCCTCTCCTGACGTCAGCTCACAGCAGGTCCTGGTTAGTGCTTGGCTGGGGCAGACTTTAGATGTTTCGGAAGGCAGGGAGAGCAGCCTCCAGGCTTCTCCCAGCCCAGCTCTGAGCAAGCAACACAGGGCCACAAGGCTCCTTACTCACTTGGGAGGCTGGCCTAGAGCTGTGGCCCCCACGTTTTCTCAGAAGGCAGTGGGAGTGTGCCCAGCCTGACCATCTGCATGGCTTGCAGGAGACACTGCTCTGCTGCTCTGTTTGGGGTGGGGGATGGCGATCAGGCAGGCGCCTCAGAGGCAGCCCAGGAGTCCCTGGCTATGCCAAACCCCAGGAAAGGAGGGCTGACACATGAGGGGCTTCAAAAGCTTTGCTGATGACAGTGACAAGTGGAGAAGAGAAAAGAGAAGGAAAAGGAAGGTTTTTTGAGACTAAGGCAGTGTCTGCCTCAAGGTGGCACATTCCTGCCCCTTCCCTTATTTGAAGATGCCCCCAGGCCTGTGGTCTGGGGAAAAGCCTTCTCTGGTAGCACACTGGTCCTGGGCCACCCAAAGCTGTGCCCTCCCTCATCAGCAAGCCTCACCACACAGCACCCCAACTACTCACATGCCCCTAGGATGCAGCAGAGGCCACCCACTGAAATGTGGTGGCTTTCCTACTGCCAAACAGCCCTGCCCTGCTGCTCCCAGCACTGCCACCTCACTGTGGCTTCCCTGTACCCTTCTCCTAGCTGTGAAATGGGGACATCGAGCCTACCACACAAGCCTTGTGAGGACTAAGTGGGTTCATGTACGCAAAGCCCCCATACTGCACAGAGCACAGAGGGGTCTGCTTCCCAGGTACAAGCCTGTCCCACAGCAGGCCCAAGAAGCCCCTTAGCAACACCAGACGCAGACCCCAACAGAGCTGGAACTGCAAATACCCAATAAGGACATTTTCCAAGACACTGCCTTGGCTCCCTAGCAGCCATCTATGTGCAGACGCCCACCCTGCCTGTGCCTCCAGCTCCAGCCCCAGCCCCTCGAGAAAGGGCCAGTGGGCAGCAGCCCAACTCCAGCGCCTGCTCCCTGAGCAGCTAATCTGGTACCCATCCTCCCAGTTGTTCTCTGAGCTCCAGGCCCTGGAGATCTGTGTATGTACATGTGTGAGAATTCACGCACACATGTCAACACGATTGCTATGGGGAGCACAGAGCAGCAAGAAGTGCTTCCTAAGTATTCTAGCTCTGAGTAATTTTGGCTACTTTAATACGAGTACCCACCTCAACTACCCACTGCCTGGGGGCTAGTCCTAGGAAAACCTGCTGAACGTAACAATGTGATTCTCATGGAAAAAAAAAAAGTCCAGTTTTGGGCAGATGCCTCAGCACAAGGCCAAGACACCAAGATCCCAGTTAATGAGGAGCTTTCACCACCAGCCTAAAAGTCCAAAAAGCCATGGGAATTTTACATGGTGTGTGACTGTATGAGTGACTGTGGGACCTCTCCCACACCCCAAGGGCAACCAACCACACATACCTGGCTGACTCCTCCACACCAGGGCACACCAAAGACTCAGTTGCTGGCCCCAGAGCCCACGCACCTATAGAGATATCCTGAATTCCAAGTGACCCCTGGAGCCCAAGTCACAGTGGGTCCTGTCAGACCAAATACAGAATGGAGGGAGAGATGTGCCAATTTTCTGTACCCTGTCTGCAGTGACAGCACCAGAGCTCAGGCCAGGACAAATAGCCTTCATCTGAGAAGCACAGATGCTCCAGGCAGGAGAGCAGCCCCAGGTTCTCTGTCTCTCAAGATAGTCCTCCTCAACAGACTCCACCATGTGAAAACAAGAACACCCTGTGAGGGTCCCGCAGTGGCTCCCAGACACTGAACAGTCTGTCCACCCCTCCCCTGGAGGGCTAGCATGATGTACTGCAGACCTTTGACCTTCAATGCATTCAGCTGGTCCACAAACACTGGTTTTGTTGTTGGTTTGGATTCTGAGGTGCTGGGGATTGAACCCAGAGCCTTCTGCATGGTAGGCGCTGCTACCTCTAACTTAATATCTACAGCCATTGTTTTTTTGAGACAGGGTCTCTCTTCATAACCCAGGCTACCCTGGTACTTTCTACGTAGCCCAGACTGACTTTGAACTCACAATCTTCCTGCCTCAGCTTCCCGAGTGCTGGGATTACAGGTGTGTACCATCACATCTGGCTACACAGATAATTTTTGAGGAATAAATCTCCATTGCTTCAAGAGTAGGTCATGTGGCTGAATAGCAATCTCAGCCCTCTCCCAGCTCACCCAGGTTGGAAGAAACACAAAATCCTGCAGGGGTATTTGTGACTCTGGGGACTGGAAATGTCCTTGCTGACTCTCACCGGGATACTGTATGTGGTTTTAGCACCAACAACCCTGACTATGTGACAATGAGCCCAGAATGTATGGCTTTAGAGGTCACTGGAGATGCCCACAGCCAACTGTGATACCTCACAAGGGGCAAGGCACCAAATGCCACTCCCCTCTGTCTTCCCAGGATCTACAAAGGACCTCAGATTCATCAACAGGAGCTTTGTCCTGTTGATGAATCCACCCCAGCACTTGCTCTAAGCAGAGCAGGAGGGAGTAGAGCCAGGGACCTTGCTGAGTTTTCCTGTCCTGGGACTTAATCGTCCATACCTGGAGAGCTTCCCACATCCGGATTACAGAAGAGAACAAGATCACCAGGGATTGGGCAGAAACAACCTAGCAGGCCAGTTCTCCCACCTAGGGCCAAGCCACAACTCAGACCGGCCTGGCCCACTCCTGGGAGGCCCCAGAGTGGGGAGATCAATCTCTAACAACAGGAGGGCCTGTGTCCAGCATCATGTGGATCCAAACCCTGAGGGCAAAATGCCAGCAGGAGAT